TTTTGTAACTGCTTTCCCCAGCCACGTCAAAAGAAAGAGCTCACACCGCTCGTACTAATCGCAACTCTGAGGCAAACTACAACACGCTGGATATTCAAAAACCAACCGGTCCGCTCGATCGATCCCCCGATCGACCGCACGGAGACAGGTGATTCGGTTCGCCCCAGCTTTCAGCCACCATCACTTCCTTCCCTTTTTCTTTTTTTCGTAATTCTTGTGTTTCAGTTTCCATATCTTCGTCCACTGCGGACGAGCTTGCGCTCTAGCCTGTGACTGGAGTGGAACTGCACTAGACTGCTGCCGAATGCGGTAGAACGCGTATTTCTTCCAAGTTGCATCATATAGGGGTCCTAATGCGTCGCTTTGACTTCGAGTTTATTTTTTGCTTTCTTGAGAGCGTCCAACACAGCCTTCCACTTTGGAGGCACTATGAAGTCGTTCCGCCTTTTGTGACAACTCTGTTTCACACTACAATGCATTCCGCTGTATTGTTTCACTGGCGACATACTCACGGTGGCTCTTGAATCAAGTCTTGATAGTACTGGTAATCATTGAATCTGGGGTATTGTAGAAATGCTATGCTGATCTTCTTGATTTTCCAAGTTATTTGGTAATCGCTCTTGCGACTGTTGATCGCTTTCAGGCTCGACTGAAGGACTCTCGTCCACTCGGCGGTAGTGGGTAAAATATACCATCGACCTTCACGGTATCCTCCAAAACGCTCGATTATTTCCAATAAATCCGATTCATTGCCCCAAAGAACCCAGGCCACCATTATCCGACTTGCCTCAGAGCCGACGGAGTATCTGAACATTGCCAACTGGTATGTTCTTGCATATTCATCCAACTGGATCAACGCCGCGAATTCCATCCAGTCCGCTTTCCACACATTCCAGTTGTCCGACAATGTGCTTTCTCTCACCTCTAGCGGGGTTGGCAATGAGATCATTGCTTGCTCCTCAGTGGCAAGCAAGTGTTAGCACGTTTGTACTTCGGACAGCATGTTTTGTACCTGGGTTCCCCAGCCGCGTCAACAGAAAGAGCTCATACCGCTCTGCGCACAAACGTTGTATTCGCAACTGTGAGGCAAGCTACAATAAATTGTATATTCAGAAACCCACCCGTCCGCTCGATCGATCGCCTGATCGACCGCACTGAGGCAGGCGCTTCGGTTCGACCCAGCTTTCAGCCACCATCACGCCATCTTGTGGCAATATTTCTCTGTCATGGGCAGCTGCAACTATCCCAATCGGCGATCTTCCAAGGATATCTGCTTGACGCTGTGGAGGCTGGAGAAAATTTCTTCCGCCTGGGATATCAGAGAGGCATCCTTCACTGTCATTCTGTTTAGTTCTTTGAAATCAATGCAACATTGATAGGTACCGTTAGCGTTTTTCGTCAGTAGCACGGGTGATGAATACGGACTGTGTGTTCGCTTGATAATCCCTTTTGCTTCCATCTCTGCTACCTGTTTCCGTTGCTCCTTCCGAGTATTCTGCGGTATTCTTCGGAAGATCGGCTTGCACTGCTCTCTAGGGATTAATGGTATTCGATGTTCCACTCAGTTGCAGAATCCGTTATCCCCATCTGCGTCAATGGCTAGCAGAACAAATTCCACCATGTGCCAGCTGGATAGTCGTGATTAATCCTATGCCACAAATGGGTCGGCGGCAGCGTTCCAGGACGTGGTGAGTGTGATGGGGCTGACAGCTGGGGCTAATGGAATCGCCTGCCGCAGTGTGGTCGATCAGGCGATCGGTCGAGTAGGCAGGTGAGTTTTAAAATGACAGTTAGTTGTAATTTGAGACTTGTGAATACAGCGTTTGCGTGCAGAGTCGCTGCGAGTTCTTTCTGTAAATGCGGTTGAGTGAACCAGGCACAAAACATGATGTTAGAAGAAAAGAAGAACCCGATGAGCGGTCAGCAGCTTTGCTTTGGCAGCAGCCGTTTGTAGCGATGCCGACTCCATTAAAGATGACGGAGGGTTCGCTGCCCGAAAATTGGTGCATGTGGAAAGCGAAGTGGATGAAGTTAGCGATATTGATCGAGTTGGATGAATATTCCGTGCCATATCAGTTCGCCATGTTCAGATACGCCACCGGCCATGATACGGTACGGATACTAGAAGCCTAGAATCTCTGCAATCACGACAAAAAACTGGATCTTTCAGAAACGCTCGAGTGCCGGTTAGGTCATTTCGCTCGTTGCCGTCCATCGACCAACGTTAGTTCACTTGATAGCATAAATCTGCAAGAAGTGCACGAAATTGCAGTAAATAACTAGGGGGATCACGTCGGAGAGGGACGCATTGATGAAAAACTGCCGAATCAATGACAACGAATTCAACCGCAAGCCGATTTTGGAGTCACCGAACTTCTGTAACCGGAAAAATTGCGACTAATCGCCCTCGGTACGCTGTTCGAAAGCGCACACGACAGCGAAAGCTGGGCCACAAAATGAGCCAAGGCAGCCTCATAATCTAGCGCCTAGAGTCGTAGTATATTCTAAACGGATACCTAAAGCTGAACGGCGTCGGAAGAGAAGAGCATCTGTGGGTCGGAAAAGCATGGGATGCTATCGACTGCGGCTGAACAGGCGGTGTGGGAAACGTGCTGCGCACTCTGAGGTGAAGCCGTATCAGCAGCATAAACCAACTACGTTCTCAGCCCAGGTACGAAAGCTCTGCCGTAGTGGAAGACGTTACGGAACCTACAAAACCAAACCAGCAAAAAAAAGGAAAAGGAAAGGATGTGATGGGGCCGACAGCTGGGGCTAATAGAATCGCCTGAAGCAGTGTGGTCGATCAGGTGATCGAGCAAGTGGGCAGTTGAGTTTTTAAAATGACAGTTAGTTGTAATTTGTCTGAGACTTGTGAATACAGCGTTTGCGTGCAGAGTCGCTGCAATTTCTTTCTGTAAACGCGGCTGGGTGAACCAGGCAAAACACAGTGGGTTTTCGCTTGGCAAGCGTTATCTCTATAAAAAGCCGCAAATGTCTGAGTAGCAACACCGTGACTTAATGGATGACTCGCCACTAAATAAAGTCATTGCTTCCTGTCTTTTCCGGATGATCTTACCCCACTCACAGACTTGTGTGGTTGGGATTGCTTACGGTCTGATACACCATTAGGCGATCACCGTAGACGCCGATAACGTCCGCTGTACATGTTTAGAGTCTTCAGCTTGATCGGGTAGGGAGAGTGGGACAAACCTTTGACGAACTTTGCTGTGCTGCGCTGTGCAGTATCGAGCGCGGTGAAATTTTGCTTTTGCCAGGGTTGGCATGCTTGGATAGCGTATTCCGCATGCGGCCTCACATAAGCGCCAAGCAAGTTCGGCAAGAGTGAGGCGTCTAATTTCCCAAACGCTCTAAGAAGGAGGCCAAAGTGCTGATTTGCTTTCTTAGATGCCATTTCAGTCTGCTTCAAATAGCCGAGGTCCTCTTCCACGAGCACGTCGAGGTTATCCTCATGCGAAGCCCGCTGAATAATTTGTGGCCCTAGCTGGCAACTGGGAGTACCCTGATGGCATATGCTGAAAACTTGCAATTGGATGCGTTGAATTAAGCACGTTCTCGGTGGACTATGTGTACGACTTGTTCAGATCATCCTGTAGAGCTGTGGCATTCTCCAATGTAGTGATAGCACGCCATATGTTTTGATCATCGACCAATAGTAGGAAGTTTAAAGATTCCATACTCGCGAGATCATTCATGAAGACAAGGGACAGGCGGAGCCAGAGTACCGAACCCTGAGATATGCCGCACTGGACTTCGATTGGTTCCGGTAGTGTGCTGCGAACTCCCACATTCAGGTGACGTTGAACAAGAAAGTCGACTATCCGGTATGGCTGACTCCGTGATTCTAAATCTTGTGAATTATAATGTGTTAATCCAGACAGTCGAATGCCATTGAGAAATCCAGATATAGGCAGCTACTCCCACTTGAGTATCCAGGGTTTTCGTCCATCATCCAAGAGAGTTCGATCGTTTAGTAGTATAGGACCGATTTTATCGAAATCCGTGTTGCTCCAGAATGAGAATTTCGTTGCTCTCCAGGTACTCCACGAGTGCCTCGGCAACAGTGAACTCCATAACGTTGGAGATCACCGGAAGTAGTGCTATCTGCTGATTCCTCATGACTACAATTTTTGTAAATTGGAGTGAGGATCCCGTGTTTCCACATCGTGGAAACATCCATCTCGATAAGACATCGCTGAAACAGGATTGCTAGCGGTTCAGCTAAACTCATAGCAGCCACATTCAACGCCTTTGGGTGAATACCGACTACACCACAGGAGCCGTACTAGCACAAAGCAGCAGCCGCTTAAGTACACTTGTGGTTTTAAAGGATATGTGGTTAAGACCTGTTTGCGGCATAATCTGTGTAGATAGGATGTAGGAGGATTGTACGCTTTGTAAAGTGCAGTGTTTTCAAGTGAGCAACACCCGCTGGATCGAATTAATCAAGTCTCACTTCAATGCGAATTGCGGTCCACATTGAGATTGTGCGTCGAAATTCATTCACATGACGAGTACTCCAAAATGATACACACTTGGTCACTCTACTGTTGTATCAACCGTTGCCGACCCCATGATTTCGTGGCTTAGAAGCAGAGGGCACACATGACCTCCAGAAAATCCCAGGTTAAAGTCCAAGTTCTGCCATCCGCACCCGATGTGCAAGACGATACTAAACCGGCCGCGAACTGCACCGTTGAGAAAATATACCGTTGATTTACTCAAAATTATTTATTTATTAAAGCCCCTATTCAAATTATTTTGCTCTGTTTTCTTATGTCCGGAAAATCCGAAGTGGGAAGAGTAGCGCGAAATCGAATCCGGTTTAAACAATGACAGCCGATTTAAATTCACTTTCTTGCTATTAGGGATAATAGGGCAAACTTATCTGGTGATCATGCCAATGGAAGAGTTATTGCTGATGACGTAATATCCCAACAGATTGTGCAAACAAGTACATTGTCATCAAGAGAGAGACGTACAGAACACTTTTGGACTCTGCGAGGTCGGAAAGCTGGAGAAACGGTGCTTCCCTGATCCTGGCTGCACCTAAAGGAAAAGATAAAGTTCTTGGAATGTACTGGTAAATAGACGTAGTTTCAGTGTTTTGCCAGCAAGCTAACCGTTTAAAAATCTACTGCGTGTCGACCGATGATAAAGTACAAAATATAAAACTGTTGTGGCTGTTAACTTTGTGTAGGTGCGCAGCTGGTTATATACCGTTCGAAATAAATTATGGCTATTAGGAATAGTGGGTCAAACTGGTTTGGTATTATGTCATTTGGTGAAACAAACGAATACCGGATGAAACCTTGTCCTCCCTACACGTGCAAAAGATGCCATCGCCGATGTTGTACCAAAGGCTGAAAACTCACACCACCTACTTGCGCATGTGTGGACACGTTGGCGGTAACCGTGTACAAAACAACATTTATGCATAGACATTCCGCGAAGTTGTTCTCGTATTACGCGGCTATTACGCTGTCCATGAAAGACTAGCTTACCTGCTGTACATGGTGGGCCGGATAAGCAAGCGTAAACTACCACTGGCGTAATCTCTTGTTCCTTCTCTCAACTAATTCACAATGTTTCTTTCCCAGCTCGCCTTATTTGCCTTAGCAACACAAAGAACAGCTCCCCACTCATTCACATCGTATCGTGTACTTGTGCATTGCTATATCTTCACGGACAGCCCATAAGATTTGAGTTTGTATAGTACGCACACTCATAGATCGGACTATAATTCAGTGTACAATATGCGGCAAATAACTACCCACCACAGGACTCGGTCGTCATTGAAATTCCAAATAAAGCCTGATACTTTAGGTGGGGAAGGTTCGAACTAAGTCTCAAATGGGACTGAAAACTGTTATAACTCCCGCTTAGTAGTAAGAAGACAGAATTGACACTGCTTGAAGACGTTTACTTGCACAACTGATCTTACAACCAACTGTCCGAGAAAGCCGTTAACTACACACTTGGTCAAAACCAATCGATGCTCACGTGCCATGTGGTTGGTTGTAAGTTCCAAGCTAACATACAAACACACGCGCTGGAAATTGATCGATTTGCATGTGCTATCTGTGTGGCTAACATCCGTGATCTCTCTAACACCCTCCTCGGTTAAAAATAAATTGTTACACATAAGATCTTTTGCTCGGAATGACACTGAGTCGCTGAACTGGGGGGGGGCGTGTAGGTGTGGAATGTCTTCGTTCAAGTTCCATTTTTGTGCTCAAACCAATGCGTTGCTCTGGTTGTGGTTCCATTGGCTTAGGCAAAGCAAACGTATCTAAAAGCATGTGTAAGGGAATCTTTGTAGTGTCATGTTGCTTAATCTGTTCGGGTGTATAACGATGTTTGATGTGTTTCACATGATGTGTAGTCAATCGGTTTTGACATTCCACTTCATACACGACATTTCCTTTTCTTGCTTTGACAATTCCTGGAATACAACGTGTATGTGTATCCCTGTAGTTGTACACAAAGACTGGGTCACCGGGATGAAAATATCTAATGTGAGTACCGTGCTTACGATTGAACTGATCTGCCATTTTCTGGTCGCACTCATTAGTCTCCTTTGCTGGAACGATTGCGTCTAACGGTATGCGTAAATTTCGACCAAGAAAATGTTCCGACGGTGATTGCCGGTTTGGGAGAACAGGATTCGGTGTTGAACGACACATGCATAAGAATACATCCAAGTTTGTAGCAATATCTCCCTCACTTTTAAGTTTAAACAGAGCACGTTTGAATGGATCCACCAATCTCTCAGCCTGTCCATTGGACTGCGGATGATAAATGGGACTATGTATATGTTGTACATCTATGGATTGACAAAACCGGTGGAACTCGTTCGATCTGAATTGTGGACCATCATCAGTGACGAGCGTTTCTGGGGAACCAATGTGTGCGAAATAACGACGAACAACTGCGATTGTTGAAGCTGTCGTTGGTTGAGTGACAAACTATTTCTGGACATTTTGAGTGTGAATCAACCATAAGCAGTAAATATTGATTGTTCAGTGGGCCTGCATAATCCACATGAATCCGCATACCGGCAGCAGTTGATTTCGGCCAAGGATGAAGGCCAACTTTGATGGGGGCTTTCGCAGCCTGTGCACATTTGGAACAACTACGAAGAAAGCTTTCAATATCATTATCAATATTTGGCCAATAAGCGTAAGACCGGGCAAGTGACTTCATTCGTGTAATTCCCTGGTGTCTGGCGTGAAGCATTTGAATCACTTTTACTCTGAGATTTTTGGGGATCACAATGCGATCTGCCAGCATTAAACAGTCGTTCACTATTGTTAAGGCATCTTTACGCACAAAATATGGTTTAATTTCAGCGTCCGATAGAATTTTTGGCCAACCGTTACGAAGCTAATAAATGACTCGTTGTAAACAGTTATCCGACCGTGTACACTCACAAATGTCATTGTGCGTAACTGGTAAGTTTCGTATGAACTTATAAAAGATAGATTTTATCTCAGCATCAACTTCAACCGATGAAATGACCGTGTCTTCATGTGGTTGTGAATTCGATCCTTGTCAGCGTGTGCGTGCTAATCGTGCAATCCTGTGCTCTGTGTTAAATTGGACGTATACTTTTACATTCTTGTGCCACGTCTTCGGAAGTACGCTCAATCGATTCGGATCACTGAGCTCTATCCAACGGCGTCTATATTTTTAAAGTAAGTCCAACGACACGCTGGTACACCACAAACTAAGTCTTCGGAAGTCTATTCACTAAGGCCAACTTGAGTAACTTTGTTTATTTGAGTTTCATCAGTACCTTTGGGATACCATTCGGCAGATCTTCTTTAAGGCTGTCAGGCAATATATAACTTAGCACTGTGCACCAGGGTATACCATAGGTACAAGAATTTTTGTCATGTCACCTTACTACCATATTTTTACGTGCATTTCATTTCACAAAGCCCGTGTGATTTTGCCTACTCGTGCGCCTAGTGACGCACCACCCAAACGCGCTGACTGGAGCAGACAACTGAGGCAGCCCAAACGGCGTGACTAGCGCAACCTAAAAGTGCATACCGACCATTGATCTATGGGCCGGAGAAGTTTGTCAACCGGGAATCCAGTGAGCAACAAACCTAAGGTCAACCGTAGCTCAGACAAACGGGGAACCGAAATCCGCTCGAAAAGCACGTGTTCGTTCTGTGCCAATTCATATGACGCGACAAATGTGAACATTACACTTAACGGAGCTAACAGCGTATCGACAGATAGCTTGTGGTTTTGTGACATACGTTCAGATAGTCCGATAATTAAGATGGTTCAAAAACTTACGACAAGGTGTGAAGCATTGGCTGTTACGTCTGCAGACCAAAAGGAACTGATCGCGGCATTGGGAGGGAAAATCTCAGAACTCGAGTTGCAGATTAGTGCATTACGTAGCCCGAATCCCCGACCTGTTAAAAGGCAAAAGCTCTCTAGCAACAGTGCTACCCAGTCCAGCGAAAGGCAAACACCGTTAGTGAAAAACAGCAGTAAAAACAGGCCGCTTGAACGGTACCCCAAGTCTCACGTAATGCGCCAAAGCATGCAGAGTTACGCACAAATTGCACGATCACATCCGTCAGTAGCTGGACAACAACAATTGACCCCTACAGATAGTGCAACTAACGGCGTTGCACGTAAAAATTCTTGCTGTAGCCTTGGCCTATCATCCAAGGAAGACAAGCCAGACACCCCCACTCGACAAACCTACGCTCACAAGGAACTGCAGAACAAATAATTACTACGCAACCAAAAGGCGATGACAGCAATATGTTCAAACGTCCCAGAACCCACTAGCGAATCGCTAAAAGGTGGACAAGCCGAGGAGCAAAAGCGGTGGGCTGAAATAACCTGCGCACTCGGACTGAAAGTTCTCCCAACTAGTCTTACACGCCTTTCACGAACTCCATCATCTCCACACTTAGGGGAAACTCGGTTACTGAGAGTAACGTTTGGCAACACGCGCGACCTGGAAGATGTTCTCTTAGCAAGCCACATGCTAGTGAACTCTTCTGTCAGTGCCCTCATTTTTCATGACAGGCCATGGGCAGAAAGACAGAAGCATAAATGCAACCCTAGTTCGTCACGCCAAAATGAGATGAAGAAACTGGTACTGGTTCATGGTGTGCCAGAATTGAAGCATGACGATAGCAGTGAACGACAGAAGCACGACAGCGAAGAATGGAGGTACATCACGAAGCTCCATTGCAAGTAAAATGTCGTGGCTATTGACGTCACCTGTCTAATTGCTTCCACAAACTACCAAGGCAGCAAACCAAGAAATTTGAATGTTACCTTGGCGGCGCCCGAAATGGTATCAGTGGCAATCCAAGCATGGCATGACAACAGGAAACTTGGGCCACCAGAAGTACGGTTAAGACCATTCCTTCAATTAGTGCAGACCTCAGATACAGATGAGCCAGCCTCAATTTTACCTATCTCAAACCAGCCAACTGTGCAAACAACCGTTACAAAAAACTTCAGCAGACCGGCACTATTTGTGCCGGTCACTCACAGCGAACCGAGCTCCTGATGCGTCAACAAATAAAATGCTGCTACAACAACACTCAGGGGTTGTACTCTAAGCTCTCGGAGCTGCGCCATCGACATGAAACAACAACTTGGGACCTCATAGCAGTTACTGAAACTTGGCTCTCAAATCACATACTTGATCCAGAGATTGAACTCAGTGAGATGTCAGTCATTCGAAATGATCGTCAGTCTCGCGGTGGTGGTATTGCTCTCTACTATCGAGATTATTTGAAATGTGAGGCTCTTACCGACAAGTACCTTGTTATTCCCGACGCACTATTTTGCCGACTGCACCTAGCAGGTCGAGATGTTGGTTCACAGAAGAAAAGTAATGCTTGCTTCTTAGCAGTTATTTATAGACCTCCGAACTCATCAGCAGACAGCGATAACATTCTGTTAAATGCCCTCCGCTATGCTGTTTCACAAAAGTACTCTCACTATCTTATAATGGGTGACTTTAATGTTCCTTCAATAGCACCAATGTCCCCTAATGG